AGGGAGCCCGATGTGGGACTCGATCCCAGGACCCTGGGATCATGACCTGAGCCGAAGGCAGTCGCTCAACCAACTGAGCCACCCAGGCGCCCTGCAACTTCATATTTTAAAAAGCATCTGATAAGCAGCGTTAGCTGCCCTCTAAAATACTTACAAAGACATAAAACATTGTAAACTCACATCATCAGAACCTAGGACCTAGAGTTGGCCTCTTGTCAAGATTTCCTCAAACCACAAGGCTGATAGATGTGCGGTTGGAAGCCCACATCAGCAGCGCCGAACCGACGCTGAAGGTAGGTAGCGAGAGCCTTCCTCCTTGCTCTGTAGTCAGATCTTTGTTCACAAATGCAAGGTCCATTTCAGTCAGAAAATCAGGCAGCTGCAGCTTGAGCTAGAGTGTTGTTCCATCCTTTACAGTAGTCCCCTCTTATCCACAGTTTCTTTCTGTGGTTTCAGTTACCCGCAGTAAGGTGCAGTCTGGAAGCAGATGATCCTCCTCCTGCCATATCAGAAGTAGTCGTAGTAGCCTAACAACCTCTCAACGCCTGCGTCATCCACTTCACTTCATCTCATGACGTAGGCATTTTATCCTCTCACATGATCCTAAGAAGAAGGGTGAGAATAGTAAGATATTTTGAGAGAAAGAGACTGCATTCATAAAACTTATATTATACTCTGTTGTGCTATTTTATTATTAGTTATTGCTTATCTTTTACTCTGCTTAATTTATAAATAAAGCTTAATCACAGATATGTATGTATAGGAAAAAACATGGTCTATATAGGGTTAAATACTATATAGTCTCAGGCATCTACTGGGAGTCTTAGAAAGTATCTGCCGTGGATAAGGGGGAGCTACTGTACTTCCCAGTCGGTATCTTTCCGTCTTTATTTGGAGGCTCTAACTCCCAGAATACACTTGGATAGGGAATTAGTGTTTTCTGTGTGTGCATTTGTGTTTGGGGTAGGAGGCAGTCATGGCAAATTGAATCCTGGGAAATATATTCTCCGAGAATAAAGTTTACTGTTGGCATGGGCAGAGAAGGAAAAAAATCACTCTTAGTGGTGCATTCTAGAAATTGTAATGTTTTATATACCTTTATATATTTCAGACTCTTGGAATGGGGTCAGAATAAAGCAGTGAGAGTTAGAAGAAGATCCTGTCTTAGTCCAACATAGCTGTATGAGAGAAAAACCTACCAGTGACACTGGGCATTAGGCCAGCGGCTCTGCACATTGTCTTGGCCAGTTGCAGATGTGAGAAGAGCAGGTTTCCCATGTCCAAGGGAACAGAGAATGGGACCAGGGGTAATTTACACACCCTTTCTATTGACAAATAACCAGATTCTAGGTAAACCAGTTCTCAGCAAGAGGCCTTTGAGCAAGTTCTGCAGAATAAGAGAAAAGGAACATCATCCTGAAAGTTCAGAGGAAATGATTGCCAGTAGAAACCAGAAGAACATTTTAGAAAATCTTCTTTAGGATGCAAGAAGACATAGCCACTTTGTTTTTGTTTGGTTGGTTTTTGTTGGTTTGTTTTAAAATTTTTATTTAAATTCTAGTTAACATAAAGTGTAATATTGGTTTCAGGAAGTGACTCATCAATTACATATAACACAAGTGCCCTCCTTAATACCCATCACCATTTAGCCCACTTCCTACCCACCTCCCCTCCAGCAACCCTCAGTTCTTTATAGTTAAGAGGCTCTTATGGTTTGCCTCCCTCTCTTTTTTTCTGCCCCTTGCCCTATGTTCATCTCTTCGGTTTCTTGAATTCCACCTATGAGTGAAATCATATACTTGTCTTTCTCTGACTGACTTATTTCACTTTGAAACAGGAGCAGTAAGTCATGAGGGCAAGGTCACTATTTGAAAACCCAGTAGTATGGGAGGAGAATTGTCAGGAAATTTGAAATGTAATTGCAGTGTTAAAACAGGACGGTTCATTTTGCTGAAAATTGAGTTGATGTGGAAAACTTTGGAAGCCCTCCCAAAAGGAGAGAGGAGATAAAAATGAGAGAGAAGTTGATATATTTGGAGGACAGAGGATAGAGGCCCAGTCTGAGTAAATACTCCAAAGAAAGAAATTGAAGCATTGCGATAGAATAATGATCTTAAGAATACAATTAAAGAGGGTGGGAGGATGGGTTAGCCTGGTGATGGGTATTGAGGACGGCACATTCTGCATGGAGCACTGGGTGTTATGCACAAACAATGAATCATGGAACACTACATCTAAAACTAA